CATACAGTTGGTTCCACGGAGGTGCACATGGGTCTATGTAATGAACAACTGGCTGCATTCAATATCAGGTGAGATAAAACCAATAAGGAAGAGATTTACTATGCATTTGAAGGATATTTTAATGTTTTAGCTTCACCATCATGTAATTCTATGCACATATTTGTGTGTTTTCTACAGGTAAAGCATCTCAGCTGTACTCTTACAACCTGACGGGGCTCTTTGAGCAAGCTCGACAAATGCAGAAGTTACCTGTTTCCATACCAACACACAAATTCCCAGACAAAATCATCCCACGGTATGATCCAGGCTAATATTTTTACGTACGTTTTTTGTGTTGCTATTTAGTCCGTTATCATTTGTGATTTCATTTTAAATATTTGTTTTCTGTCATTCCTATTCAATCACATCATTTGCGTTTTAGTGCTGTCATGATAATCCCTTTCTTTCAGGAAGTTTACTGTGTCCAATAAAATACCAGATACGAGGGGTTGTCAGAAATGTTGTGTGGGTCAGTATGAATGCACTTACATGCACTTGATATTCTTATGTTTTGTGTTGAAATGCATACCTAATTGTATGATCAGAGCACTGCATGTTTTTAGGATTTCTTGCACATAAAATCTTTTGCATATATGCAATCAAAAATGAAACATACTTCTGTATTTGTATTTATAGTGCGAAACCCGTACACCGGTCATAAGTACTTATGTGGAGCTTTCCAGTCCAGCGTAGTGCTGTTTGAATGGGTGGAAGCCATGCAGCGCTTCATGTTGATAAAGGTAAGGGTGAAAGATAAATCACATTGAGAAACACAAAGCCCATCCATGCACAAGAGAATAATCCTGTGTATTTTTGTCTGTCCAGAGCATAGACCTCACCCTGCCGTGCCCATTAGAAATCTTTGAGATGTTGGTGGTTCCTGAGCAGCATTACCCACTGGTTTGTGTGGCGGTCAGTAAAGGAAGCCATCCTGATCAGGTGGTCACGTTTGGTACTGTTGATCCCAATGCTGCCAACCCGATATTCACAGAGCCCGGTCAGTATCAGAGTTTCACTGTGTCTCAGTTCAAAACTGAACTTTTACTTACAAGTTTACTTGGTTTGGATTGCTAAAAAAGATGTTAGAGAGTGTTGCTCTTGGGATTTGAATGAACCCTTGTTGTGTTGTATGTTTCCAGAAACACCTCAAACATGTGTCATTCATGTGACTCAGCTGGAGAGAGATACTGTCCTAGTGTGTCTAGATCGTAAGTCATTTATTTTTATTATAATAAATCATAGAATATTATTTATGTTATGTTGACATTTAATATAATACTCTGCTGATATTAAATATTAGAACAGTTTAAATATTAATAATATTCACTTTTGTTTTATGTATATATTTATATACACTAACTATATTATTTGGAAGAATTGGTTATAATAATTATAATAGTATAATCAGTTCTTTCAGATATAGTTAATGTACATAAATATATACATATTACAAATATAAATTATATATATTAAATTTTTTATTATCATTATTGTTATTGTTAATAAGAATAAACAATAAATAATATATAATACAAATGAATTGTACTTAATGTTCTTTTCGCCATTTTATAAAACCAATAAAACACCCAAAGCTGTGCATTACAGTGATTTTTGCCACAGTAATAGCTCTTTTTAGCCACAATATGATAAAATCACATGTACATTAACCTGTCTCCTCATAAAACTATAATGGTTTCTGAATTCGCACAGGATCTTTTTCAGTTGGTATTTGTCAGTACCTGCAGCACACATTCATGTTCAAACAAGCATTTGCACATGCTCTTGCATTTTCTTTATCCAGCAGTTCCAGCTCTTGGAAGCCATTACTCGTCATTTATTTCTGTATTTTTTTGCAGGGTGTATAAAATTGGTGAATTTACAGGGCAGGTTAAAATCCAACAGAAAGCTGTCAACTGAACTCACCTTTAACTTCCAGATTGAGGCAATAGGTAAGAACTAAAGTAATA